CAGAGTACAGTTAAAAATGGAGTTACAGTATTACAGTACTATACAATAGCTATAGTATGGATACTATTATAAAGAAACAATTTAAAACACACACTTATTAGATAAATTATTAATTACAAATTACATAAGAAAAAGAGCTTAGAAATATATCAGCATAAAGCATATTATTTATATTAAGAAAATTACGGTTTAGGGAGGATGCGTAACCATAAATATTAGTTCTAGAGTAATTGCATTTAAATGTTTAACACTCTCTAGCTGGAAATAAAATTGTGTGTAGTACGACAAATTTTGTGTATTACGAAATGTTAGGTGTGCATTACGAAATTGAAAAGCACTCCAAGGATAATGTGGACAGGTACAGCCACTATTGTAGGTGAAAAGTTGATAACTACTATACGGACATGAATTCAATGTATATCTGTAAGCAGCGATTTACCATAGCTAACGAAAAAACGATTCTAAGCGGTGTTCAGTTGATAGTGTTGCTTTTTCAACAATATATATGTCATATTATAGTAAAATAATTAAATAGACATTAAACATTTATTTAATATTATTTGATTAATATTGTATCGATTTTCCGGTTTTAGATTCGTGGTCAATGGTAAATCGTTACGTATATATATACATTAAATTTCCCCTCTACCCTCCAAACTTCGCATCTATAACAATGGCCCACTCACGAGCGAAGTATGTCTTTCTTTTTTACATTCATAATCATCAATTATTAAAGGTCATGTATTGTTGTTGGTTCAACTCTTTGTTTGATGCCACATTCTTCGGTGAAATAAAGGACGTACTGTTCATGAGTTCTTGGATGTGTTCGAAATATTTATAATATTATAAAACTTATATTTTCATTGGTTTTGGAAATTCTTTTAAGAGATGTTTTGATGTAAGCGTTCACGATAAAAAAAAATTCTAAAATTGTATATTAGTTTTTTTAATATGTAGTTTTTTTTTTTAATTTCTTAGAAGCTATCGAATATCACATTATAAAAAAACAAACTCCCAAAATAATAACATCTGTTAATTACATAAATTGACACCTAGGTGCACCACAATCTAGTTGAATGTAATATTATTTACGTGTAGCACCACCTAGGAACGCCACATTTTAATTTAATTTGTTGCTAGAATTGGGGACCGCGATTTGTATAAAAGGCGTCTTTGTAAGCGTCACTTATTCCCGACTTCACTGGGTTCACCCAACAGAAGCATTTATACTAATTTTTTTTATCTTCCTCATTAATCCATGCCTATCTATCTAAACTTTCCCCGTGTACAATAGTTACAGAACCATAGGCGAGCCCGTGTATTCGGTATACCTTTTTACAGCAGCTGTACAATAAACTGTGTCAATGTGACAACACGCATTATACGGTTTCATAATGACATGATATTAACAATAAACCACATTTCGTCATAGAATCATATCTGGTTACTTGCACACGATAAAAACGTAGCAAAATATAATTTCCTCATTTATGCCACCAACGAAGACTACCGCGGGAGAGTAAAATGACGAGTAGAGATAGGCAAAGTAGAAAAAAGAGAAGAAGAAAAAACTAATGATTATTATAGGTACCTAATGTAATATAATATAACTAAGTTTTTTCGAACTATCAGTCGTTATTTATTATTCGTTCATAACCAAAACACTATAATTTAATAATATTTATTATTTATCGATGCGCATTTATTATGCGGATTTAGTGCATTTACGAGATTAACGTGTTTTTTTTTTTTTTAAGCCATCGTTATTGTGAATTATTAACGCGCATGAGGCCAATGATTTTTTAATTGTTTAGGGGTTCATTCGTTTTTAAACTGTAATTTCATTTCGGAAAATATTATTTTACGTCCGATTCCAGTGTACCCTGTACTGTATACTAACAGCGGTGTATTTTTAACGAATAATTAATGTGACGTGATGGCGGATACAACAAATGTAATGTTTAAAATATACCTAATAATATAGCAAATCGAATTGCAATTCTGGCCCGTGACATATCTGAATAATGTACAAATAATAACACGAGTGATTATAATGAATACGATATCACTAGGACAGATAGACAAAACGTGCAAGTACAATAAATAATAATTTTATTCGAAAAACCTCATGTTCGGGCCGTCAATGCCATTGTTGTTATAATAATAGGTATATCTACTGAAAATTGCGTTACACTGCCATACAATTATAACCGTGTAAATACGAAATAAAAAAAAACACCATAAAATGTTAAGCAGACAACATCTTTCCCTGCGGGGGAAGTGCAATTAATGGAAAGTTGTTTTCAGTAACAAATCCAATGGTTCTTTTGGTTTAGTTCCGACATTTGCTTGTGAATGTAACGATTGGAGCTGGTATTCAAAGTACTCGGACAAAGCAATATTGAAATATTTGAGATCATGTACTATGATTTTTCCAATTTTATTAGCTGTACGGGCAGGGCTGTTCTAATTGGCTATACTTCATATACGTCGAAACCTCTTAAGATTTTTTATAATACTATGGGTTTACCGCGGATAATCGCAAGTCCATTTGTGATTTTAATTCTCAATATTATTGTTATTACTTCCTTTACACATCTAATTCCAAACCATAAGAAAAATATTTAAATTTTATTAACTGTTTGTGTTTTGGTATTATTTGACGACTTGGTATAATCTCGGAAAATTTAATGGGAACACCACTGTGTGCAAGGAAAGAATTGTTGTACATCCCCTGTACAATATTTAAATTCAAAATGTATTGTTGATTATATAATATATTAGTATCGGACCATAATCTATCAAACGTGATTTTGTCTACGATATTAGTTTGTTCGTGCGTTACCTATGTATACCATTCAAAAATCGTTTCGTGTTACCATGAAATACCTACTGGTATAAAACAAGGTTGAACACGAGAAGTGAACATTTGCGGACAATATGGAGTTCTAAACGTATTTACATTAATATTAGGTATTCTCAAATAATATGCAGAGTATTCCAAGAAATAGTTGCAACATTTCTTTCCGAACGTATGCTATCTATACAATACCTATTGTGTTAATCGCGTATATTATAAAGAAAAAAAAAAACTTTTTGTTCATTTGGTTATTTCGTCCATATTATTTTTAACGACTTTAGTTAGGTTAAAACAAATGATATACACTGGAAATTATTCAAACAACATTATGTTTATCGGACATATAGTACAAGTAAATACAAATAAGTCTGATTTATTTTTAAAACCAGAGCGACGGAGTAATAAGTTTATTATGCGATTTTATTTTCGTATAAAAGTATGCAATATGAATAATGTGATTAACGGTTAATCTGCTGTGGCAATGACGATTCTTCCGAAACTGGAATATAAACTTAAGTGCTTGCAACACACTACTTAATAGTTTTATTTTGTTTTTTTTTTTTTTTTTAATTCTCTGTGTCCATGATGCTGCGATATAAAATTGCTAAAACATGTAATGTACCTATTGGTTTTACTATTATGTGTGTTTTTTCACAACTTTCCTATCTGAAATCTAAAACCATTTTTATTCCATTTTCAATTACTTTGATGAATCGAGAAAGTAATTTTTCTGATGTTTCAAGCGGTCCTTATAATAATTGGGAAAAATTTGAAAAAACGGAAAGTTTATGAATATGCGTGGAGTTGGAAAGCATAGTTTAATAAGTATAGTGTTAACTGTTTCATTAATTTTGATTTTTTTTTTATGATTATTCTAGTAAAAAAAAAAATTCGTACAGAGAAACAATTGTCAATTCTAAATAAAGCGAAATTTCCAAAATATTCTAGAAGCATTTGTTAAATTTATAGACATTGATGTTTTTGAGTTTTTTTTTAGGTTTTAGATGATTTAATGTAATGCAATTATTTGGCCTAATGGAAATTATGGACAATTCAATACGAGGTTCGCTACAAGTTTAACTGTGTTGTCTAAAGAAAAAAAATGTGCGTAATATGTAGGGAGTAGGTTTGGAGTTTGAGCGAGTTGAGGAATGTACCTGTTAGTTTTACAATGATGTTAATTTTTATTATTTTAGTTTTTTATACTGTTTACACAAATGCTATCAGGAATCTTGCTCTAAAGTATCTAGTGTAGCATCTTTTTTAAAAGGGAATTTTCTTGGGATGGTACTTTAATCGGGTCATTTTTTAATTTCTCGATGGTTTTCAAAAAAATTAGAAAAACCAAGAAAAATGTAGAAAAAACGTGGAAATTTACGAAAATAATGTTTTATAATTCAAAACTTTGTTTTTTTTTTTGTTGTAATTCAGTTTAAAATGTTCGTATAGCCTTGACATCTTATACTTTTTTTTTATATACGTGGTAAAATTATTGAGCTTTTATAGTCATTGTAATGTTCATAGTTTTTTTTTATGTGATATTTATTCGATAGATAAAATTGTTGGACCAATCAAAAATACTTAGGAATTTAGCAGAAGATTTATTATTAGTTATATTTAATTGTCAACAATAAAAAGTTTATTTTAATGTAGTAAAGAGAACTTTTCCTATAACCTAATATCCTCTTGAGGATCAAGTTTTATTGTTCTAATAACTTTTTTTTTTTAAATCTAAGTTGAATAAAATTGTTGATAACGAATCACCTTGTCTTATCCCGGAGTTCACTGTGACCAAATCAGATATTGTATTTCTTACTACTACTACTACTATTATTTTAGAATTTTCATATATGAAGTTTTTAAACAAGTAATTTGTTTAAAAATTAAGTAATTCACGGACAATTTGAATACATTTTTATGAAATATTAATTAATTTTAGTTTGATAATTGACTTGGTACCTTTCAGTATAAGTCACAAAATAAAAACAGTTTTTTCTATCACACTATATATATCCAAATAAATATTTTTGAAATAATTAATGTTTTAACATTATAACTTATAATTATCTATTTAGTATCTAAAGGAATTGAAAATTACCAATTTGGTGGATGAAATATTTTTTATTATATTAAAAAACTACTATATATTTAAATCATATTTCATTACAATATTTTTAGCAACTTCTGCAAGTTCTCTAATTTGAAATTTATAAACTGTGCCATATAAATCATTCATTTCATTGTTTTGAAATAAATCAATGATCATAGTTTCTCTTTCTTGTTTGGGCTGTACATTTTCAAATATTGATTTTACTAGTTGGAAAATATCAATATTTCCAAGCATTCTTTTATCATTAATGTACAAATCTAATACTGACAGTAAAAAACTTGTCATAAGATTTTGGTCAAAAGTTAATTCTTCATTAGATAGATTAGAAGAGAGTTCACTGTTCACATCATCTTCACTGTGAATTTCTCTTTTTTCGTCATTCAAGCGATGTTGAGATAGAGTTTTTAAATTGTATGGGATCCAATCAAAAATCAAACCAAATGCTTTTAATAAGCCTCTACATGGCTGTTCATCTCTGCAAAATGCTAAAAGCATAGCGCTATAATTGAGTTTATTTTGGTCTTGATACATATCATATAATAACCATTTAGCTTCATCGTACCGGATTGATTTATTTTCAAACCATAACTTTGTTGTTTCATAACTTTCTACTGTAATATTTTCATCTCCAACATCATAAACTTGGAATAATTTTCGATAGCTTAATATTTCTTCTATATTAGGATAGGGCAGCTCCATACATTGTACAACAAAGTCTCTCCAATCAATAGTTGTTATATTATCACCTAGTATTTCTTTAGGAAAATGATTGTAAAACTGATCATCTATTGGCCAATTTATCGGATATATATTATGTATTTTACAAAGTTTACTTAATGTATCAATCAAATCACTTATTGCAATTTTATATCTTGGAGCGATCTCCAAAAGTGTATTTACCATTGTTGTTAATTGTTTTATATTAAAATTTTCTTTTGAATAAAATATTTGTTTACAATATATTTCCAAAACACTACATTCATTAATATAAAATTGTCCGGATATTTGATTGATGAGCCCATTAATATTTTGTTCAGCATCTATTGCACATTCCATTATTTTAAATAAGTGGTTTACATCATTTATTTTAATTTCGTATAAAGTACGGATTCTTTCTAAATCATTATCTATTCTTATTAAATCATTTAAATATGTTTCATCTAAAATTATACCAGACTTGATCCTATGAACTTGATCTATAAATCTGTTTTTTTCTGTTATCACACATTGCGTCCATATATTTTTATTTATCATAATTATTGTTTTTTCATAATTTTCATTAACATAATTTTTAAATTGGTTTATCCTGTCCAAGCAATATATTTGAAATATTTTAAATTTATTGTTAGTATCAATTATGCCTTTGGGGAAATCAGTAAAAACATCAAAATCAACAATATGATATGTATTATTGTCATCATAATATCTTCTTAAGAAATTTAATGTAGTAATTGCACGGTTCAATTCAATTTCTAATAATTGTTCATAAATACTAATTAGTGTATTTTTTTGAATAACTACCCATTGATCGTTAACTTTGTGACTAACAGATTGAATGATTTGTTCAAAATCATTGTCCACTTGATCCCACATATCAAATTGTAGTTGCAACAATAACTTTTTGTGTTCTAATTTTTTAGTAATTTCTTTTTTTTTTTTTTCATTTTCATAATTCTTTAATAAGATCAGTAAACTTGGATTATTACTAATTGGTATTTCTTCATTCACAGTTTTTAAAATGACATTCTTTTTTAATTTTAAATCCTCAAACAATTTTTTTTTAGAGTTTAACAGTTCTTTTATTTTGTGAATATAACTAGTTTCCATAGTTTCCCACATATTTTGTAAATATAATGCTTTATACATAGAATCAGCTAGGGGACCTTCAATCCAACTGAGACTTGGATTTAGCAATTGAAATTGGTTTGTTATTTGATCAGTTTGTATTGTATCAATGTTTTCATCTGTTATGATTAATGATCGTTCACTATTATGTTTGTCATCGGTATCTTTATCAGATTGTATACTAGTATTATCATCATCGTTGTCAATCATAATATTTATTAATTTAAATATTTTGTTCGTTTTAAATACATAATTTTCTTCATTCAATATTAACCCTACTAGAATATCTGCTGCTTTTCTAGAATCTTTTATATTATCATTTAAATAGCTAATTAATACTTTAATAGAATCTTGTTGTTTGTAAAATTGTAAAAAATTGTTCCATTTGTCATTTTTTATTTCATCTCTGCGTTTTATAATTTTAATACAACGTGATAAATATATATTTGTAGATGTATACATAATTCCGTTATTATCTTCATATTCAGGAATTATCCAAGACTTTTTTTTATTTTGATTACATAGCTCTTTCCCAAAACATGGTATTTTACCAGTTAACATGTATTCAAGTAAAGCCATTTGGAGTGGTTGAACAGGATATTCTAATAATACCCAACCATTATTTCCTAAATTTTTTTTTAAAAATTCTCCAATGCAATTTATGACATCCCCAATTTGTAAATCGTGATTTTTCGTAATTTTTTCATTAATTGTTTTTCCTATATTTGCCATTGGACTATAATCAGGATTTTTGTAATCTGGTTCTGGAATAACTTCTGGCGTTTGAGTGATTTTACTTAAATGTTGTAATATATTTAGTTTATCATCTGTTACATCGATTGATTTTGAACTGTTGTTTGAGTCAGTATTGGTTATGTTTGGCATACTATTTATTGAATCGTTTTCTGTGAACATAAGATCATATATGTTTTAAAACTTGTATGATTTATAAAACAAATTTAATTTAATTATCTAGATATTAAAGCTTTATAAATAAAATTTCAAAAGATATCTAGATTAGTTTTAAGTACCATACAAATCAAACACCTAATGCAAACTGAGTTTTTTAGACATATTGTCGGGTGACATATACAATGTTACCAACTACCATCCTTTTACAATCTTACCACATATTTCATCAATTTTTGAAAATATTGTTTTAAAATATATTAAACCTTCCTTAAATTACATTCTTGTGGATGAGCAACTTGGATTCCGTTCATCCACTTCATAAATTCGTTGTTCATCTACTTCATAAATTCGTTGTTCATCCACTTATTAAATTCATTCTTCATCCACTACGTGCACCTTAGAACTCTCTTCTTATATATTTGACTTCATCAGTGAGCATTGCCATGTGGATGCGGTTTATACTGATTTTGTTAAAGCATTTGATTAGGTAGACCACTCTCTTTTGGTCAAAACATTAGATCTCATTAGTATTGGTGATCCTGAATTGGCTTCATTCTTACCTATTTGATCGCTCTCTCCACATCTTGGTTTTTAACTCTTTAACTCTTTCTTCTTCACCCTTTTGTCAGATGTCCCACAGGGTGCTGATTTATCTCCACTTCTTTTTGCCTTATTTGTGAGTCCTGCTTCTTCAGTACTTTCCCACGCAAATCTTCTTATTTCTGACGATATGAAAATTTTTCTTAAAAAAAATTTCATCCACGATAGCTACAAGCTTCAATATGGTCTTGATACGGCCTATTGTTGAGTATGGTAGTGTATTGTGAGACCCAGATCCTGCATTGTTCAGCGCTATGAGCGAGCGTTTTCAGCGAAGGTTTCTCTATGCTATTGCGTACTGACTCTAAGTTCCTTGTCCTCCCCGTGATTACTGTCTTGTATACTCTGGGTCTTCTAAGATTTGCGGATGGTAGGCAGGCGTGTAATATTTCTTTCCTATGTAATATCCTTAGCGGAAAAATTGGTTCTCCTACTCTCCTATTTCTCATCAACTTTAAAGTCCCATTTCGATTCACTCGCACCCATACCCCATCATTCCATATACCACTCTCCTCTACAAATTTCCTCGAAAATTCTGCCATCAAACGTTTAATGTGGACAGCAAATAACGATCCCCTCCTTCGTTTGATCGCCAATTATAAATAAATAAATAACTAGCTATTACTAACAGTAACTCTGTCAATTCTACTTTTAATCTTTTTTCATAATTCATATTTTTTCTTAATTAATTTTTCCTATAAATATTGTTTTTTTTTTTTTTTTTGTTATCACTTTATCTTATTTTATTGTTATATTTTTTATTAAATTCTCTATTTTCATTATTTTTTCTTTTTTCTTTTGTTTGTTCAACTTGTCACCTAATTAAGTTGTAAATCGATACTTAGCATTTGTAATTGGATCTAGATCTATAATATATAAAAAATAAATAAATAAATAATATAACGTACCTACCTAATTTTATAATATGTTTACCCATTTAAATTTAAATTAATAGTCCAATAATTAAAATAGTTTTCCTATGACATATCTACTGGGATATTACTCTAAAATAATATGGATTGCTTTAATTTCGATATTATTAGAATACAATTAAAAAAGTAATTGTATTGATTTTGTTTTAATTACTTTATATTAACCATTTGAAAATATTTATACCACTTTTATTTGAATTTGAATTTTTTTCCAATGTTAGATTATTGCTTTGATTTTTTGTAATAGCATGTTGTTCATTGTCCAAAACTTGATATAATTCGCCTTTATTAAGAGAAATTTCCAGTTCTTTTTTATAGGCATCCAAACAAGCATTTATTGCATCGTTTGTAGTAAAATTTAATATTCGTTTGGTTCCAAGGATATACTTAATTAATTTTACTACTGTTGTATTTTGCATCACATCAATCACCCCAGCTATACTTGTCTTATTTATATCCATACATTTAATTTCAGTTTTACTGTTGTCAAAGTTTATAATTTCTGTTACAATCATTGAAAGCATATGTTGTTTACATTCAAACTGTTCAGAATTCAAATATTCATTTGACCACACTCCCGAATGTTGTGTATATTCATTAAAAATATTTTGTTTCACAAAATGTATGTTTTCATGGTCATCAATACCTTGTGTTGTTGAGGATTCATTTATTTTTGAACCCATTAAATTTTCATTTTTCAATTCTTCTCGTGATAGATACAAATTATCTGATACATTTTTATTATTTTGTACAATTTGAGATGCACTATCTAACTGTGTCACTAATATATTTTGTTTATTAATATTAATTTCCAAATTTAAATTGTTTATCAGTTTTGTATTGTTACTGTCGAATTCATCAATACTTACATTATTTCCGTCCGTTAAATTTAAATTATCAACAATTATACATCTACAAATTTGATTTGATTTGTCTGTGATTTCATTTTCAAAGAATTTGTCATTCAAGTTGTTGATCAATAAATTATAAAAGCAGTTCATATTATTTTGTATAAAATCTAAAATACTACCTTTGATACGTTTGTTTGATTTTAGTATATCAATAGCAGTATACTGTGTTCCTTCTAAGCAACAAAATAATTTGAGAACATTCCATTTTTCAGTATTCAAGTTTGATGATTTTTTCCAGACTTTTTCCTTAGGTTTACTTCTTAGGTTCCTTTGAATACTACTAATTTTACATGAGTTGGTCATTACATTATTATTGAATTGTACATTTTCTTTTTTGTTTATATCATCCGGTACTTGGCATGGTTTCTCTTCTAGTTTTAAGTACAATTGGTATAAAAGGTATATTACTGCAGGTGATTTTCCATGAGCTATTTCTTGAATAACATTATCCTCGATTTTAATATTTAAATACTGCAACCATACATTAATACTTTTTATGTTGTTCAAACATACAGTATAAAAATTATTTTTTTTAAAACATTCAATGTACTGATCAGGTAACACTTGGTATATATGTAGTAAACGTGCAAATAGAACACCATCTTTAAATATTTCTCCTATATTATCATAGCTTAAACTCAAACAAAAATTTAATCCGAGTTTGCAAATAAGCCATTCTTTTAATATTTCAAACATAATGTTAAATAATATTTCTATTGTGTCTGTAAATATATTTGAATAAAACACATTAAGACAAAGAAAATAGTTAAGAATTGTACATTTTCTTTTTCGTTTACATCATCCGGCACTTGACATTGTTTCTCTTCTATTTTTAAGTACAATTAGTATAAAAGGTATAAGAAGTAACTTAGTAACTTTTATTATAAATGATATTATATTATAAACATGTTTTTGTCACTATTGACTACTAAATGCTTTTAATTTATGCTATTTAGTTTGGTTAAATGCTCATTGTTAAATTGCACAATTTTTAGTTCTTTATTTAAACTGATTTTTGACTAAAACTAAATTAATTGCAGATTAAAAGAAAAAATAGTCGTGACAATATAAACTATATTAAACTACTAAAGCATCCAAAAAATGTTAAATTTTTTAAAACACAAAAGATATGAAGATAGCTTAATATAGTTTTGAATTGTAAGATTTTAAATTCTGAGCAATTAGTCTTACCAGTGACATGACTATGGGGAGGGGTACAAGTGGGCCATGCCACCCTTATTGGCCATATTACCCTTAGTTAGGTATTGATCTATACAGGGTGATGGTACACGGTATTTGGCTTAAAGTAAAAAAAAAAAAGTGGTTTTAAAATAAATTTTAAATGATTCCATAATGATCAGAAAAATTATAAATCGAATTGACTTAAAATTTTTTCGGTATTTTTTTGGTCATTTTTTGAAATTCACATTTATTTTCGAAATAAAGAGGAAAACTTCGATCTTTAGGTTAAAAAAGATTGAAAGATTAAAAATAAGTTGTCATTGGCAATTTGTTTTATTTTTTGTTATTGTTAAGTTTTTAACATTTTAATCTTTTTTAAATTATTGTTGTCATGGAAACGCACATGGTTTTTAATGGTATTTATATTAAAGTAACATTATCAACTGAGCTCAGCTCAGAATCGTGTTTTCGTTACCAATGGTTTATCTTTGCTTACAAATATACATTAAATTCCTGTCTGTAGCCTACTTTCCCAACATTCAGTCTACAACAGTGGCTGCACCCACGTGCTGATTAAGCTCGCCCTTTTTTAATATTTTTCTAAATAAAAAAAAATATTGTCGACTGTTTAGTTATTTTTAAAAAATGTTTTGCTTTGCTTACCTCCATTTCAAATTTCTGCTACGTTCCTGGGTTTTACTATATTGTGTATTATTTTCTTTTTTTTCTTTGTGTTACCATTTCTTGCTTTAATCAAAAAATCACAATACTTTTTATGTATAATTTGTTATAAGAATGTAATTTATTGTCATTTAGTTTCATTATAAACTAAATATAATTGGGGATAATGCAGGAAACTAGAATTAATATTTTCAAAAAATTTTTGAGCTATTTACAAGTGTTTGATATATTTAATTTTTTTTTTGGTTTTTATTTAGTTAAATGTAAATACAATTAACTGGCCTAACAGAAGTGAGTCTTTTAACTGAATGAAACGTATAGGTGAAATGTGAAAAGAAACTTTATCTTGTTCATTTCATTCCATATATTTTACTTTTTCATATTATATATAAATATTATTTAAAATTTTAGTTTTACATATTGCAGTAGAATAAAAATATGTTTAATAGATAGAGACATAGGAGAAGGAATAAAGTGGAATGTGGTAAGGAGGGAAGGAGGAGAAGGAAAAAGGTATGGGAAAGAGTATGGGGTTGATAGGTGGTAATAGGTAAAGGTATATCCATATACCATATTTGTATATATGACAAATGACGCGAACGCGCGGCGATCTATCTATAGATATGATGATTGGCACAATGCGCAATCGGTCTGATGAGGCCTTGAATAGACAAAATTAGTATGTGTGTGTGCTCGGTCATTCGGATTGTATTGTAATATAATATGCACGTATACCTATATTTTGTCAATAAAAATGCGTGGTTATTATTTTTTTTAACAATAGCTATTGCCTATCGTAAGAAGTTATATTTCTCTTTTGCCTATATTACTCTTATAAATATTCTACTATGAAAATGTGTAAAAATTATACTTGCCTTATATTTTCTGCCTTTAGTTCGCAAGAAGTTGGTTGCTCAAAATATTAGGAGCAGGATATAATGGGTATAGATATAGATAAATCGTTGCAATGTATACACAACGTTAGATACTCAATAGACGTGTTAATACTATTTTTTGCCTTGGGCTCACAACGTGGCAACCAGGTGTATAGACAATACTAGTGTTTATTTAATATAATTTTCTCCACCGCCCTTTATAAGCGTATAGACAACCGTATAGACAACCGAGATGAATGTATTAGACGATGGCACTACGACTACAACCGTTCCACATTCACAACCGTTTAACGAGATGTGTATAGCTGTCTGGTCAATGGTGTTAGACTGTTTTAAACGTAAATGTATATGTCTTCCTGTCCATTTTCAGACGTATAGACAATCTTTTTCGGGATGTGTATAGCCGTCTACGTACCGGAGTATCATATATATTCTTTTTAAAGAAATAAACACAATCTATGTTATAAATAATTGTGAAAACAAGCACAATTACCAGGCATATATGATTGGGAGAACCAAATACAGTAGCCCAAATTGGGTATCTTTTTTTACTGTATAGGTTTGGAATAAAAAGTATGGTTAGAGTGAATGAGCAAAATATATCTGTTTCTGCTGGGCAGTGATAATTGACTCGTAGACGGTCAGACTGTTAGAATGGCGTGACGCATATGCCATACGTATTTATGTTCTCCGCGGTCTCCCACGCAGATGATTCCACTTCGCCACGGTAGCTACGTGCGCCTTCTACGTGAGCGACGCATCTAATTAATATTGTGAATTAATGTGTGCCGCATTAAGGTGGTAATACTGTTTAAGAGATATTTGTTGTGGAACTGGTAATTGTGCTGTGTACAATATTACATATTGTGTATATTATTTACTAAAGATTAGTTAACTGTTAAAATAATAGTATTAAAACTCGAATGACAACTTACATTCATAACATTCATATTATGAATTACAAAAATGAGAAATGCAATAACTTAACCAGTTAATCAAGAGAGAGTATTTATATCTTTCACCACAATAACAAAAACTATGATGTTTGTCAAGAGCAATAAAATATAAATTGAAAACACTGCAACACAAATAATTTTTCAAAAACCAATTTATTAAAACATTTCACCGAAAATGTACAATTTCTAAAAAATTATCTTCGACTTTAATTTGTACAGAAAACAAAATATTTGTATTTTCAAGACGTGGTCATTTTTAAAAACCATTTTATCCATTTTTGAGCCGTTTATAGAAACTTTAATTTTACAAGGTAATGTAATTTTTATTTGGTAGGTACTCTGTGAATATAACTGTTTGACCAAACTGAAATGCTTGAAAATTTAACAGGAGATTCATTATGAATTTTACTTGGTGACGAAAATAAATGTTGAGTGTAATATAGAATTTTTTTCATAAGAATTTTCATAACAAATTTTGATGGAAAAAATATGTATTGGCCTTTCATATCATTCTATTATAGAACTTCGCACTGAATCGTTTTTCGTTAGAAATGGTTTATCGTTGTTTAAATAGATATAAATTAAATAACTGGATACATATATCCTACCTTTCCAATTTCCCATCTACAATAGTGCGACACCCATGAACAGTATATGGTCTTATATAAATTATATGCGTTTAAAAATATTTCGTACATAACTATGTTGAATTATACTTGTAAACTTACCCTACCTATTTATTTTCTTTTAATTTAAGAAATGTATTTTATCTTTTCATGTTGAATTGAAATGTATTGGTCCGAAATATAGTATAACTGTTTTATAAGAAGCTCGTTCCGTTTATCCGGTTAAAACTCGTTTACGAAGACTGTGTTTGATCCTGTCGTGATTATATTTTAAACAGTCTGCAATGATGTACTTAACGAACAGGTAAGTTCCGAACGTTAAACATATTTAAAGGTTTTCTTTTGTTATAAGAAAGCTGTGAGTAATTCTGGTGTGACCAATCCGTAACCTATTTATAGCGGTTTCTTCTTTTCGTTTGAGGTTTAAATTGGGATATATTTTATCGTTTCAAACCACATTTTTTTCTATACCTATAACTAATATTTCTCATAATTTTTCGTTTCACACAAGGGCGTTTGTCTTCGAAAATTCTAAGGAGGGAGACATTGTATTTTTTCTATAATATTTCCTAATTACATATGCTATTTTATTTTTTTCAATTATGTTGTTAACAACCGATGGGAAACCACTAATGAAAATAATCCTACTATATAATTTATATAATTCTTTTTTATTTTTCATTTATTCAATGTATTTAATATAAATTATAATATTTTATGTATAAATGCATAACGGACACGGAAAGTCAGGGGGGACATGTCCTCTCCATGTCCCCACCAATGGACGCTCATGGTATCAAGTTTAATCGGGAATGTTGTTTCGATTGAATATATTACACATTTTTCTATTACAATCTAGAATACACATGGTTTAAAAATTTAGTAGAAATAATGATTAAAAACAAGAATTGATGAAACTGTTGTAGGTAAGAAGTTGAACATTTTCGGTATAAAAAGTTATAAGTTATAAGTTTAATTTATATCTATAAGCAACAATTGCTAAGGTATTACGAAATTCTGTGATAGATGTTTTGAAATTTAGTAATGTTTAACATTTTTGTCAAAATTTGATATTAAAACTCTTGTAAACATATAAAAAAAAACACATATTACACAATTATTTTTTTCTCTAAATACACAGATAATGAACCTCGTGTTAAACTGCCATGCATTTTTTTTTTGGTCAAACAATTTTATCCAAATAGCACCTATAGGTATCCCAAAGAAAAACTTCGTAAACAAACTAGAAAATGTATAATAAAGCTCAAAAATATGTTCATAATATTTTTACACTTTTAAATAGGCTAATATAAGTATTTCGTGAAAATATCAGATTCCTGCAATATTGCCTAACC